GGAGGGGGCCGTACTTCCCCTACGAGCTGAGCCCCACACGCAGCCACCTGGAGGGCGAGCAAAGGCCCAGCGCCCTGTGCCTCGGTCCACTCTGCCCCTCCCCCGGCTTCACCGCCCAGCTCCCACCCTGCACGACCCAGGGCCTCTGGGGGATGCTGGGCAGTCGGGGCCTCCAGCCACTCCCTTCCTTCCCCAGGGAGCCCAGGCAGGGGTCCCCACCGGGCCAGACACCACTGGGCCAGGGAGGACCCCGGCGTCGGCCGGTAACCTGCCCTCACCCCGACAGCATTTAGCGGGGTCTCCACCCAGGTCCGAGCCCCCCAGACCCCTGGGGACGTGGGCTGGGAAGGTGGTGAGGCCACCCTTGAATGCTGCCTCCCGTCCCGGACCCGGGGACCGCCCCCCAGCCACTGGTCCCAGCCAGCCTCCCCCGCCCGGTGCAGGGTGGAGCAGAGCTGGCTCCGGGGGCTGAAGGCAGCCCACCCCGCTCCATCCCGGGTGCCCGCTGCTCACTCCCACCCGCCTGCGCTCCAGTCTGGAGCTGTCGGCCCCTGATGGAGTGCCTCCCATCCCGCCAGCTGCCGCTCCCCAGGATGCTAAGTGCGCGGGGAGAGTGATGAGTGCCTCATCGTGCAGCCCCGAGAATCCATCTTGATCACCAACTGCTGCTGGCCCCCACCGTGCCCAGCACGGCGGCCCCCCAGCGCCGCACCCCACGTGGGCAGTCGGCACGTGTGTGCCCAGAGAGGCGTCCGTGCTCAGCAGGACCCGCACACACCAGCCTGGGCCTCGGACCCCACTGTGGCTGAGGCCCTGGGAGGGGGACCCGCCCCCAGCCACGTGACCCTGCACCTGCCCTCCAGCTTTCATCCCACAAGCCCACCCCCAGGGCCGGGAAGGTTCTGGGATCCGGAACTGGGGGTGGGTGGTGGGAGTGGCACTGGCCAGAAAGAGGCTGAGGGGCAAGCACCCAACACTGTTGAGCCCATGGGGCCACAAGCCGGCTGGGCCCCCCGCCAGCCCCCAGACCCAGGGCACTGAAGGGGGGCCAGGCGACAGGAGCTGGGCAACACACGGGTGGAAGCGACAGCCGGGGAGGCAGCCTCACTCGGCCCCTGGCCCTCAGCAGCCGGCATCCAGGGGGGCCGCGGGGGGGGGGGGGGGGGGGGGGGGGCGACAGGCCGGGGAGGCCAGGGCAGCCAGGGCCAAGGCTCTGAGACCCACAGACCCCTTTCTTCAGCCTCTGGGGCACTCCTGCCTGCAGATGTCCAGCCAGGCGGTCACTTGGGGGCCGCCAGCTGCAACCTGGGCCGTGGCCTGCATCTGAACGAATTCAGTGCGGACAGGACGCCGGTAGGCGGCCGGCCCAGGCCCAGGGCCGGGGGTGACACAGGAGGGGCGAGGGGAGGAGGTGGCCGCCCTGTGCCTGGCCACGGCTGTGCTCTGTCCTCTCGGCTGTAACACCTGTGGGCCAGCGAGGGGGACGAGGCAGCACAGACACAAAGGGCCCAACGCTGGGAACAGGCGAGAAGGCCCAGGTCTGCTCTTCGGATGCCGCTCCGTAAACTAGCGGCGGGGGGGCGCCAATCCTATATATCCACCAACTTAATTCTGGAGATAAATGAAACCAGAGATTAAAAAAAAAAAAAATCACCCTTCCATTCAAAGCATGTTGTTTTGTCACACTAATGGACTTTATACCTGACTTATACGTGACCTCTTTGAAGCTGACACACACCAAAAAAGCTGAATGTATGTGATTTCAATTGCAAACTCATGTCTCTTAGCCATAGACAAGACTGATCATAGCTTTTCAAGCTGCACTGTCATTGAATTCTTCTAATTTCTCAAAGATTATGCTGCCTGCCTTAAATAAGATAACGATTCTTTGCTACTGGTGTTGGGGGTCCCCTGGTCTCTGGGGCCTCCCAACAGCGGCCACACCAGGGGTCAGCAGGGACTGGCCTGGACCTGGGCCCAGGTCGGGTCCCCTCGTCCCTGCCACTCCCGCCCAAGCCCAGCCCAGGACTCCAGAAGGGCTCCCACCCACCCCATCCCACCTGAGCAAACGCTTCAGACCGGGGCCCTGGAGCCCCACATCACAGCTGGCCCAGCTCCCCTCCACGCAGGGCAGGACGGCACCCCGGCCGGGAGACCGGAGCTGGGGGTGGGCACTTGGAGGCACACGTGGTCTGGTGCCCACCCCCACCTGGAGGGTCCATCCTCAGCCCCCCCCCGAGGTGGGGGGCCCTTTCAGAAGCCCAGCCCTGGGCCGGGGCAGGGGAGGGGCCCTACGGCACCACACCCACCCCTCCCAGACACCGGCGCCCCACCCGGCCACCAGCGAAGGGGACCCACGGCCCCTGAACCCCGAATGCCCAGGCCTGCCCACCTGCCTCCCAGGCTCCAGATGAGGAGGCAACTGCCCTGGGTGGGGTGGGCGTTGGGGGGCGCCCAGGTCAGCCAAGCTCCTGTGTCCAGGGCAGGGTTTCCCTCCTCCTCCTGCCCCGCTAGGACTCCCAGCCCCCAGCCCCGGCCACCTCAGCGTCCCCGTGTGTCGTCCACCGGGAGGGCCCTTCCACCATCCCAGCTCATCCCCAGGAAGGGGCTGCAGGACCCCCGAGGGAGGGGGTTTCCTCACCAGCATGACTTGTCTCCCACAGCCCCAATCTGTGGAGCCACACAAATCTGACGGGGCCACACAGCCAGGATCAGGGACAGGAAGGGCGCCAGCTGGCAGCCGGCACCTCTATACCTCCCAGCCCGGGTCCCAGGCCACGCTGTGGGTCAGGGCACCCCCGGCAGGAGACCCGGAGGCCAGGACCCAAGCCACTGGGGGTCCCAGGGGTGCAGCACACAGGCTCCCCACATCCCAGGCCCGCCACCCGCGAGTCCTCCCCTGCCTGGCACCTCAGCCCCTCCAAGCCCCCAGGCACAGGCCGCCGGCTTGCCACACCCTGAGCTCCATGGACGGTCTGAGTCCCCAGCTCCCGGGGAAACTGCTGGATAAACGCTTTGCCACAGCGGTGGCAGGCGGCGGCTGGCAGGGAGCCAGGCGGTGCTGAGCTGTTTCTCCACAGCGAAGCGAGCCCCAGCAGGCTGGGGGAGCGGGTGCCAGCTGACGGCGGCCACCACGCAGTCCCCCGCCACCGCCACATCCATCGCTCATGGACAGCTGCCTCATGCCATCACCCCCTCTGGCGCCACGAGCGACGCGGGGCGGGCGCGGGCCTGGCTCATCTCGTGTCCCCACGTCCCTGTGTCCCTGTCCCACCGGCAGGACACCAGACCACGGACAGTCAGCGAAAGCCCGAGAACCGGTGCCAGGGAGGGGGCACGCCCCACTCAGGCGGAGCCCAGGTCTGGCGGGTGAGCCACGCCGCCTGCTCCTTGCTCCTGGGGACGCCTTTCCTAGGGCAGCTCTCTCGGGGTCCTCACGGAGGCACGAACGGCCAGTGTGGACAAAAGGAGAGGAGAGATAGCCACACCCGGCCCAGCAGCGGGGGGACAGGTGGAGGACGGGTGTTCCCCCGACACAGCTCCCCGAGCCCAGCTGGGCCACCCCCAAGCTGCCTGGCAGGCCGAGAAGGTGGGATCATTATGACCAGTCACTCCTGGGGGAGACCGAGGCCCAAGGGAGAGGGCTCTCAAGGTCACAGAGAGACAGATGGTGGCCAAAGTCCCAGGTCCAGCTGCCCAGGCGGGGCTCACTCCTCAACACAAAACCGAGAACTCTGCAGGTCGTTGGTTCTGCCATCAAGCAGGCAGGGGC